AAGGAGACCTCAACTAATCTAATGTATGCACATAATGATTCTTCATTTGTTTAACAAGAAGTCATTTATGCAAGAAGAACATGAATTTGAAACACTAACCTAATCTCCTCCAGCATCAACAACAGTTATGTCAGGTTGTCTGTATTGAAGACCTAATTGCTGGCTGTTGTTTCTTACAGCAGCCAAACCATTTTCATGAACGACTGCTTTCTACAATGAATCTTTGTAATTAAGCCAGTTTTTCATATATTTTGCATTGAACTTAAAGGTAGATCAGTTGAAGCAGGCTTTGTCTCCAAATTAGCATTCTGTGGACAAAAGCTTTTATGCTTTTGTGTTGCTGAAAGCAGTCATTACCAATCTATCGGCCAGCCCATTTCCTAAGTGCAAAAGACTGTTTCTGCTTTTCTCTTCACTATTGTTATTCAGATAGGAGCAGTTTTCAAATTAATTTGTAATGGTATGTATTACTGTATTCATTGGGCTAAACGAACCCATCTCTGGCTTCTTTGCACCTGTCTCCTGATAGAAGGATGCTGTAAGGCTGATCTGGTACAGAAGGGCTGAAGGGTCTGGCAGAGGATATGTTCCAACAATCCACACGGATGTAAATGGCTTGTCCAAGGAGCGGTAGGGATACCAACTATATCTATTAGGCTTAGAGAAAGCATAATGCAAACTAAAAATGTCATGATTATTTAAGAAAATATATGGTTGTCATGCTATATGTTCTTTACTTTTAAGCCATGGAGGCTTAAAAGAAAAGACTCTGCCAAAATTTTTGGAGGCAATAAGGCAGAGACTAAGCCATTGGAGTGGGCAGGCCGGAAATAGGGCTGTGGCACGTGTCTTGCAGAAAGAGAGGCACAAGCGTGCTCACACCTCTCTTGTCGCATGACTGTGAGGTGGAAGGGAAAATGCTCATAGCTCCTGCTCAAGATGCTGTCACACTTGTGCAATGAAGCTGGGGCTCTCTCCAAGTTAGTTTGGTGAATCTTTTGTTTGGTTTGCAAACTACAAGTGGCCCATGGGCTGCCAGTTGAAGAGGTCATTTCAAGACGTTTTATTTATCCTGGAGTACTAGGAACTTAGTAACTGTCTGAGTAGGAGTCTCATGATTTTCTGTATTGCTTTTTCTTATTCCAAGCAAATCCCAGTTGAGTGGACCTCTTCAGATCAGATCTTCAAACATCAAGTATATTTTAAAGCTTTGCTGGATTGAAGATAAAGGCAAGGCTGACTTTGCCCTACAGAATGAGAGAGACATAAAGTATATTCTTACTGTTGTAAATCTAATCTGTCATCTACTACTAAAAAAAAATGCTTCATAAACAAAGATATTTTATGATATAAAATACACTGAGGAGATAGGAAGGGCATACTAGTGGGTATCAGTATTATAATGAGCATAATTAATTTTAAAACGTATCAAGAGCAGTATCAAGCTAAATATCCGCAAAAAAAATGGATCATCTTGTTTCTCTATTAGTCTTTCATTGCAAAGCTGTAAAAATAAAAGTAATGTGGCCCAAAGCCAACTCCTGTCTTCACTTTTGGCCTTGCTCATTGTCATGCAAAATTTAATCTACTTTTTATTTCAGATGCTGGAATTTCAATGCAATCTAAGTACCAGCATTCAGATTTTCATGCGTTTGCACTTAAGACCCTTTCTTTACACATCTGTTGGGTTTTAGGGTCTCTAGTGGACTTGAATGAAAGTATGAAAACAGTATCTGTTAAATGATTGCATTTATAAATCCAATACTTTAGATATTATAAATCATAAAGATATCCTGTGACTTTAATTACATATAAAATCCAGTCTCTCTCTGAAGTATCAAAATCTCATCACATACACATCTATGTCCAGATGATGGAAATGTTTGTGCTGCTTGTTCAAATAGGTATAATAACAGCTAAGACCAAGACTTTGAAGAGCTCCATTTTGAGGGACTGCTATTTTTCATGCTGATAAAATTACTTTTAATCAATTGTTTCAGTATTTATTTACTTGTACCAAAAAAAAATAATCCTGGGGATGCTGATAATCTACTTATTTGGAAAAATACATGTTTAACAAAATGTACCTTTCAGAAATAAACCCTTTATAAAATCTTGAAATATCCAGTACAAAGAAACACCCAAATCCCATAGAATTCAGTGAAAAGAATATTGTGCATTTCAATAGGCTTTTGTTGATTAGGCAATTGTGGAGGTAAATACTTTCTATCACTACAAAAGCTCTGCTTCTTTTTTTTGTAAGAATAGCATGATTAGAAATATAAAGATTACAGAGTACATCAAGCAAAATCCTTCATTAATAGCCTATAGAGCCCATTAAACAAACTAAATCCAAGAACTTTTAAGCTTAAACTGGCAATGAAAGCAAGGTAGCAAAACTGAAAAATGTGTAGCATTTAAGTGGGATAAGGCCCACGTCAGTCCTTGTGAAGAAACTTTATTCCATTTATCCAGAGCTTTTCCCTGCCCATCCTTTGGCATGCTAACCTGAAAGTCACTTACATGTTGGTTGATGTCTTTATTTTTTTGTTGAATCAGGTATTCCCTTTAAATCGTAAGAATGGCTTTAATTACTGATAAAAAAACATTACCATTATCATCTGATGATGCACTCTCCAGACAGAACTGTGCCAGAATTGTGTGTGATGGCAGCAGCACTGAGTAGCACACCTAAGCAAGCTTTCTTGTCCAGCCATAAAGATAGAGCGATCACCTCAGGGCTGAGTAGGGACCAGCAGCCTGGGTGAGGGTGCAGGATCCTCATGGCCTTCACTTGTCTGTGCAGAATTGGGAGCCCCTGCCCCTCTGCTGCTGCTGCAGCCTGAGCTGATCAGACTGGAGTGAGCTGGGTATGTCTGCTCACAACGCAACCAGACCTCCAGGTTTGCTCTCTGGACATAAGTCCTGGATCTGTTGTCAGACCTAGGGAGAAGACATTCATCTTTGATAAGCAAGAGGGGACATGGCAAAAAAGAGGGCTTAGTACAACGTTTTCATTCTGGGTAATAGTAAAGTCAATATAAGAATGTTGCTATTTTCGTTCTCCTCTGTAAGATTCTCCAGCAAATTGCCCAGAAAATATTTTCTCCTCCCTCCAAACTGTTTTTCAGAGCTACAGCTTATTGTGTACCTCTCCCACGACACGCTGCAATCTTGTACATTTTTTCTAAATAATTCCCGGCAGAGAGAGGCATGGATGCTTGCTGCATCTACTTCTTCGTAAGTTAGTGTTGCAATCTTGTCAGATGTATGGTGTCCTCCTGTAAGAAAAGTTTTTAAGATGTTTTCAGAATATAGATTTTATTTAAAACTTGGAGGTATCATACTCAGATCATACTTTCAGAAGACAGCAGAGCTTATCTCTTTCTCAAGAAAGAGCTTGGATCTACTTGAAAATCTTTTTTAAAAAACATCCTAAATTGAAATTAGGGTTGTTAGTGGCTCCCCAGGCACAGTGCTAGAAAATGAGAGAACAAAGCCAGTACAAACTTCTTCAGATGTTCATCATAAAAGCTATCTAGATTCATTCAGCAAAAAGTCTGCGTTTCTCCAGACCCTACCAAAAAGTTCCAAATGTGTTCC